AAAGAGTGTGTGGTGATACGCAAGTAATGTAGGGTGAGAGGGAGGCGAATCTTGGGATGGGCTGTGGAAGATGTTGGGAGAAATTGATCAGAAACAAATGGAGGGTGAAATTGTTAGCTTAATTCTGCCGTTGGTGCTGAATGAAGAGTGAAAAAGTATATAAATACCGTACTTAGCAGAAAGAAAACATTATTTTTTTGACATCAGCATTTGAAGACAGTGTTACTGATATGGGCAAATGCATCATATGCATTTAATTGTGAGTTGAGAAATCTGGTAGAAATATGTTTACCTTTCAGAGGCCTTGCCATCTTCTCTTTTGCCTATGTGGAATTTCTATTTGATAACTCATCTTGATAAAAAATTCGCTTGCCTGACTGTGAATGAATGATGTTTGAAGTGCTCATGTCAGTTGTTCTCCATCTCCTCCATCCTGCAGGGTCACTCTCTCCTGCTTAGCAACACTGAGAAGAGAAGTCTCAAACCCAAGGCTGGGGAAGGCTGCTCTACAGCAGAACCTCTCCAGGCCTGGTGTTCACTTCTTAGGTTGCATACAGGGACTTCGTTCAGTGTCGTGCTTAGTGACAACTTGAAGTGAGGGCAGGGAAGTGGTCTTTTTTGGCTACAGTGTACCTGTATGAAAAGTATATGTATCCCGTTTCTTGCTTTTTTGTGTGTCTTTCGCATTGTAAATTCAGATCTTGTCTATCCCAGAAGTCTTTGGATCTGACTATTAGGCCTGTGACATCAGAGATAATAAGGAAGAGAATTGTAATTAACTGAGAGGGGAAATGATTTGCATTCATGTTATTTAAAATGCCTTTTTTTGTTTGTGTCAGGGATCCATTTAATTCATATCTTTAAGTCAAAAGCTCTTGGGTGGGAAGGGAGTTGCTCAAGGGTTCAGAAGATTTGCATCCCACATTCATGCATCACCCAAGGAATCTTCTGGCATTAGAAGGGAAAATGAGAATTAGCAGTGCTGATTTGGAGGGAAGGAAGGAAGAGAAAGCAGATAAACCCTTAGTAGGTAGTGTGCATATGTAACAGAGAAGCTGTGGAGAACCCCAAGCAATCTGCTTGCACTTTGTTCATCACCTTATTATTGACAATATCTCTTTAACTGATACATTCCTTTCAGTTTTTGGAGGTGTGCTATTTTTGTCTTTTCTGGTTTTTAGAGGAAAAGGGGAGCCAGTGACTGAGCTGAGTTGGTCCTCCTGCCGACAGCTTCTCTACCAGTCAATGGCCACCATCTTGGCTCACACAGGCTTTGAGTGTGCCAGCGAGAGCGTCCTGGAGACCCTGACAGACATTGCCCACGAGTACTGCTTGAAGTTCACCAAACTGCTGCGGTTTGCTGTGGATCGCGAGGCTCGACTTGGGCACACCCCTTTTCCTGATGTCATGGAGCAGGTCTTCCACGAAGTGGGCATTGGCAGTGTGCTTTCTCTGCAGAAGTTCTGGCAACACCGCATTAAGGACTACCACAGCTACATGCTCCAGGTGAGAAGAGCAGTAGGGACCTGACGGCACCAAGTAATGTAGCCGCAATATAATTGCTTATTCCTACAGCAGGTCCTGGGTTCTACTGAAGTAAAATCTGATTAGAAAACTTCTTGAGTGTGAAGGAGAGTCGTCAGGGAAAAGAGGAACAGGAATTTTTTTTGACTGAAAGACAGAGCCTCTTTTTTGTGTCCCTACTGAGGCTAAGAATACTCTGCTGATGGTTTTTCTGGGTTTAAGAGGAGGCTCCTAGCTCCTGAGTGGCTAAGACAAAGATATCAAGTAGAAGTAAAATCAGCACCGGCTGATTTACTGAATTTTCTGCTTTAATGAGATATTTGACTGCTTACCTTTTCAGAAAACAATTAAGCAGATGAACAGAAAATACCTGGCTGTACAGTAGCTTGTGTTTGCTTAAGCAAGGGTTGGCTTGTTTAAGCTTTAGGAGAATAGGGAGGTATTGTGCTCATCTGAGTTGTCACACAGGTGCTACCTTCCCCTCTAGAGGGAACTGTGCATCTGTGGAGAAAGAAGAGGAATTTTTAAATTCCTTGGAATAAGAAGTGCCATATCAACTTAGGTTGTGAGAATTAGGGTATAGTTTCTCTTGGCCCAGGTATTCTGTGAAAACAAATATACGCATTATAGCCCATGACCAAAGGCAAAACCTGCCATCCCTTCCTCCTTGTCACATTACCTGAGTGCCAGTTGAGTCGTGGAACAGCTATCCCGTGCTCCTTCTTTGCCCAGGTTTGGCACCTTGAGGCTTACAGGGGCAGTATAAACCAGAGACACCTGTAAGTACATCTAGTATGTAAATTGTGATGGACTCTGGGTTCTGTGCATAAAAATAACGACATCAAGATCTGTCTTCATTAAAAACACTTTATGAAACCAGTTCATTTTTGTTCAGCTGTTTTTGTTCAGATGTCTCCTTTTGACATTTGGGGTTTGGGGTTTCTGCATCATTCTGCTGATACAGTTGACTCTCATTCTGCATTGTCTTGTCTGTTCTGTTCTCCATGCAGAGCTGAGGTCCACAGTAGCCTCTGTATTTGGAAGCATATTTGTGAAGGAGAAATAGGCTTTGCTGTTCTTTTTTCCTTCTTGCTTCTGCTTTTAAAAAGCCTTGGGCTTTTCCCCAGCACAGTTCACTGACTGTTGGGATTCAGTGGTATAAGCAAGCATTTGTTAGAAGCAGGTGAAACCTGAAATTTTTAATTTAATTGCTTACAGTTGTTAAGTTTCTAGAAGTACAGGGTAGTTCTAAATCTCATACCTGTATTTGTTTCAGTTCTCTGACTGGAGAAAACTGCTTTTTTTGCTGTGAATGTGGGGGAAGGTACCCAGGTTTTGCTCAGTGATGACTACAGAGCTGATGATTATCTGAGCTGCTTGTGTTTTAATGCTGGAGTAAATTTGTTACTGGTGGGTGGGGGATAGTCTTGTAAGTAAAAGCAAAAAGTAAGACTGAGATACTTTGTTTTTGTTTCGTGGTGTTTAAATTTCTGGACCTCATCATCACTGTCTGTGAAGTAAAGGTGCTCCTATTTATCAAGCAGATGTGTTAATGGATTAAAACTCTTATGAAAATCCCTTGTTACAGGAAAGAAGCTGTTCTTAAAGGGGAAAAAAAAATCTTTCTTGTGTAGCTGATAACCTGTTTACTTGTTCATTCAGGTCAGATGTTAATAATATCCTGGGAACAGAGCACTCTGCAATGTAATTGCCATCAGAGTCTCTGAAGTCACTCTGACCTTTTTGGGTTCTTTTTTACCCTCACTGGTTTTGGCAGGTTAGCAAGCAGCTTTCTGAAGAGTATGAGAAGATTGTCAACCCTGAAAAGGCAGCAGAAGACACAAAGCCTGTGAAGATTAAGGAGGAACCTGTTAGTGATATTACTTTCCCCATAAGTGAGGAGCTGGAAGGAGATCTGGCTTCTGGTGACCAGTCTTTGCCTGTTGGAGTCCTTGGAGCTCAAAGCGAGCGCTTCTCTGCCAACTTGGAAGTAGAAGCTTCCCCCCAGACTTCAGGTAGGGTTTTTTTGCTACTGCTGGAAACAGTCTGTCAGCTGTTCCATGTGATCTTGTTTCCATTTTTAATAACACATTCCTAATGTGAGGAACGAGAGAGAGAGGAAAAAAAATTTTAGGTTTTAATAAAAAGATTTGGATAGGAGAGAAACCCTTGCTTGCTCTCTAAATACAGAACCAAAGAATTGAATGTATCAATTTACAAGGATTTTTTAAATATTTACTGTGTTCACGGACCCTGTAGAACACAAAATGCTTTATGTAGTGTTTATTTTTAGGGGATTGTTAAAGTTCGTGGCTGTGTTATTAGTGTGAGGCAGATTGTTTTTCTACAGTGATGGCTCAAGGGCTTTATTGTTGTTTTGTGTTGTAAGTACTGTTTATTTTTTCCAGTCTGACATAACGAAAACAAAAATAAGTTTTGGGTTTATATACATGTATATATTTTAGTTAAGAGAGACTAGAGTTTTATCCTTATTTCTAGTAAAGAGAGTACCAGATATTTTTTTCCTCCTTTTTTTTTTCCAGGTAGCTTTGGATTCTTGTCCAGAGATTCATGTTACTGAAAAGTTGAGGGCAATGTTACTTGTGATTAGAGTAATTTCAAGACACTATATAGTTTGGGCACTGAATGAGTTATGGAAATACTAATGATACTTGGTGCAGTCCTCCATACTCAGAAGTCACCCTGGTAGTGGCAATCATTGTTTCATAACAGCTTATGAGTGACTTATGTGAAATGGACTCATGGGAGTCTCTGCTCTTTTAGCATCTCTACCCCACAGCCTGCTGTAGTTGGCTGAGGCTTTGGAAAGTGAAATGGTGAGTGAAGTAGTGGCGTTATGGAGACTGCGCTCTTTTCCTCGAAGTGTTATCACTGAATGTTGGCATTGAAGCACACTGGTGGCCTGCATGGGGGAATGTGCTACTGCCGTGCCTTTTCTATATCTATATTCGAGTTTTATTCTGTGCTTCATTTAGCAGTGCTAAATTTTCTGGAAAATGAAGAAGATATTCCTCTCCCAAAGAAAGTCAATTTTGATTTTTGTGTAGAACCTTCTGAACTCTGGAAATCCCTGCAGTAATAACTGTTTCACTTAAAAATCTGTTAAAAAACAATGAAGCCTGTTCTCCTATTAACCATAAACTAAGAAGCATATATAGGGAGGTTAGAGTATACCTCTGAGTCTATTAGGTTGTTGTTTTTTTCTAAATACCACATTCTGATGAGTTGTAAAAGAGCACATATCTATCTGATGTCTTTCTGGATGCTCATATTGTTTTCCATAGTACCTCTGAAATGAGAAGTGCTCACATTTTTGTGGGAGAGGGAACAGCAGACTCCTCTGGCCCATCTGGGGTTGCGAGTGATTCATCTGGAAAGCTTTGTATTAGCATCTACCACTTGAGACCCAGAGGTTAGCATGCTAGCTGTATATTAAATGCCTCTTGCCTTTCTGATACTGAATTGATGCTTTCTAATTAAGAATACAAGTGCTCTGTTCCTCCCTGAAAATCCCTCTTCACTTCACAGAGGCTTTTGGAAATCTCATCACTGTGAGAAGTCCCAGGCTAGAGCTGGGCAGCTAGAGAGCGCACTATCATAAGGAGAGAGAAAAAGCTGCTGCAATTAGGACACCACCATCTTGAAGATGCAGGTGTGAGGCCCATAGAGAGGTCAGCTAGGCTTCAGTGTCTGAGAACAAAACTCTTATTACAGCCTTCCGTGTTTCTGCTTATGCCTGACGTTGCGGTTGTGGGATAGCCGCCTAATTTTATTCCATTTGGGAGAATGGAGGCAAAATTGGGGACCTTGTTCCTCCACCCAGCAGGATAACGTGAGGATTAGCTCATTTGTAAAGCACTTTGAAGTTAAAGTGCTTTGAAGATGAAATTACCTGTGTCGATGCTTAAGTAGTTTTAGTCATTAGTGACACTCTCAATGATGGGTGATAGAGCTGAAAGGAATAAGGCTGGGCAATGAAGAGCAATTGATGAGAGAAAGACACAGCAAGTTCAGTGGGCATCATTGATTATTGTAACTCTTGGAACCAATAGTGTTTTAATGATGTGTCCATTGTTGTTGAGAGGAACACATTTACTTATAATTAACTTAAAAAGGACTTTTCATTTAGGCAACTGGACACCAGCAAAGACTTTAATTCTGATCTGCTAACTACTGAGCTAATGTAGGCTGTGTTATCACAAAGGTCTCCTAAACCCTGTTTTGGGCTAAGCTGCTCTGGAGTCCTTCATAAGGGAGAATTAACAGTACAAACATGTGAAAGGTTTGTTCTCTGTGTAATTACTAGTGATAAATGACTGTTCTTAGTAGTGTATTCATAATAAGGAAAAGTAGTAGGTTTGGCTCAGTACAAGAGGTTTGGTTGTGCTTTCAAACTGTAGCCAAACTCCTTGAGACGCAAAGTTTGGAAAACCTACTAAAACTGGTTTTCTTAGATTTTTTCATTTTCCGTGAGAATTTAACCCCACACAAGAGGGACCAGATTTAAAAGTGAGAGGATTTCAGATTTTCTTCAGTTCTGGGTCCATCTCAGCAAGAGGCCCAATTAGTGTATTTTTAATAGGATTTTTGTCTCTCTTAAAACTGTAAATAAGCAGAAATAGTGCAATCTGTAATTACTGCTCTTGGGGAGAAAAACATTTGCTGTTATCAACAAATATGGTTTTGTAATCTTGTACAGAACGTCCTCAATCTGCTCAGACTGCACACTAGTCATAAAGTTTAAAAACAAAACAAAAAAATGTGGAGGGGGGTGCTGTTTCCCAGCAGAGTGTCTGCGAGGTTGAGCTGAGAGTTTCCTTCTGTTCTGTGGAAGGATGGGATGAGATCTGCGGGTGTGGAGTACAAGGACTGACTGCAGCTCTGATGTCCCTGCATTTCAGTGCTGGAAGTGGTATTTGAGAATCTTCATCTGCCTAGTCCTCTGCCCTCTCACTGCACCCTCCCTGCAGAACTACCACAAGTCCAGTACGTCTGACAGCTTAAAGGAGGTTGCTGATGTTGCAAGGACCTCATCATCATGGATGACTCTTGGACTGCCTCTAAATCCTTCTTATGCAGAGAGTCTAGTCCATGTGCTGGTGATGTACTCATTGCTGCTGAGACACTCCTTCTGGAGAGTAATGTGGACTCTCTAAGTTGTTTCTCCTAGAGAAAACCACGTGGAGGATTGCTGTGAAAGGATAGCATCATATGTTTTAGAGTGGCAATTTCTGGGTTGTTAAAAATAAAAAAAGACAACAGATTATTATTTTATTTATTGTTTCAGACTGATGGTATGTTTTGGTTTTTCTCCCCAGCCTAGTTCACCTGCAGCGTTGCTTTTGCTCTTTACCAGTGCTGCTCTTCCTTGCATCTGTATTTTTAATTTGTCTTTTTACTCAGTTACTACTGTGAGCTTTTTCTTTCTCTAGGGGCTGAGGTGAATGCTTCCCCGCTCTGGAACTTGGCACAGGTAAAAATGGAGCCACAGGAAAATGAGGAGGCCAATGTACATGGCCACGGGGTCCTAGGCAGCGATGTCTTTGAGGAGCCAATGTCAGGCATGAGCGAAGCTGGGATGCCACAGAGTCCCAATGGCTCCGAGAGCAGTTATGGTTCTCATTCTGCTGACAGTCTGATGGGATCCTCGCCTGTCTTCAACCAGCGTTGCAAGAAAAAGATGAAAAAGATGTGAAAAGACAGTCTTGTTTAATCCTAATGGTATGTAATAGACTTGAAACAAACTAAGAGAGCACTGTCATGGCTATGATTCATAAACAGGGCTGGCCCTGGTGTATGAGGGACCTTCCGTAGAATGATTACAGGACATCTGATGTATAGTGCACTTCAATTCCCCTCTCTGCTGGCTTCTGTGCTCCATCCTGACTCATGAGATTGGTGATGTCCTGGCTTACTTTGGCAGATTAATGAGGAAAGTGGGAAGCAGTTGTGAGGAGATTTACTAAGTCATAGAGTAATTGAATAATTTGGGTTGAAGGGGTGTCTTGAGGGTTCTAATCTCTAGTCCAGTCCCCTGCTTGAAATATAGCCAATTAGATCAGGTTGCTCAGGGCCTTGTCCAGTTGAGTTTTGAATATCTCCGAGGATGGTGATGCCAAGTCTCTTTGAATGTTTTCCAGTATTTGACTGCCCTCATACTAAGAGAAAACATATTCTTGCATCCAGTTGGAATTTCCCATGTTCCAACTTGTGTTCATTGCCTGTGTTCTGTCATTGTTCGTCTCAGAGAAGAGTCTGACTGTCTTCTCTGACCTGCCCATTAAGTGGTTGTATGCAGTGAGATCTCTCTTTAACCTTTTCTCTTCTAAAGTCTGAGTAAACCAAGCTCCCTGAGCCTCTTGTATGTCCTGTGCTTCAGCATCCTAACCAGCTTTGCGACCTTCGACTGAAACTGCTGCAGTGCCATCCTTGTAAGGGAGAGCACAAAAGTGGATGCAGTCCTCCAGATACGGTCTCACAAGCACTGAATAGGGAGAAGTAATAATTTTCCTCCATGTGCTGGCTACATTCTTGCTAACTGTTGTGGGCATCAAGGCAGTCTTAAGTCAGGATATTTCACTAATTGAGGAGCTGTCGCTGATGATGATGACTTAGTGAAGATGCTGTACAGTGGCCTCACAGTGCCGTCAGCCAGCTCCTTCACTGCCTTCAGGTGCTTCCTGTCTGGTTCCATGGACTTAGGTATGTCCAATTGGCTTAAGTTCTTGCTAACTCGATCTTCCTCTGCTGTAGGTAATACTCTGTTAGTAGACCTAGGGACTTGGCAGGCCTGAAGGCAGACCTTACCAGTGAAAACAGGCAAAAAAGGTGTTGAGTACATCAGCCTCAAAGTACAAAGTGCATCCTTTGTCACCAGGTTGCCTGCATCATTGGACAGTAAACCTAAGCTGTCTTTGGAGATAAGGCAGCACTCTTGGGCACCTTTAGGAGGCCAAGGCAGTCCCTTGTGAGATTTATAGTGTTCCTTGAATAAACCAAAATATGCTGTCCTAAAGTTCCAGGACTCTTTGTCTTGTACACATTTCTCAGGATTTTAAGTGCCACAGTTCCATGTCTGCTGCAGCCAAAACCTTCACATTCATCACCAATTCTTCCTTGTTAGTAACAAGTGCGGCAGAGCTTCTTCTCTGGTTGATTTCTTGATCATCTAGTCAGGGAAGTTGGTGTGGTTTGTCTGGAGAGAATGAAGCAGCTTTTACTATTGGTGTGAACCAGTACTGGCAATGTAAACTTTTCCTTTGCTCTCATTGGACTGAGTGCAGCAGCTTCAGGCTGGCTGAGGTTTCCTATTCAAAATTGTTATCTTGACAATGTAGTCTGAAACAGAATCTATGTTGCTGCTTGCTTTTATGGCTTAGCTGGCTGATGACATTCTTTTTCTTCTGCACAATCTTCAGTTGATCAACTTGGTCTTTAACTTCATTCAGTGAGTATCTCTCTCAAAAAAGCAAGAATGAACATGAATCTAGAATGAACAGCCACTTAAACTGGCGTTATACCTGTTACCCATTGGGATGTTTGAGGGAGATTTACCAAACCTCCCATTTGTCCTTACAATTACAAGTTTATCTTTTGAAAGAATGAGCTCCAGGCATAGTATTTTTGTTTCTGTATAACATGGCTAGCCTTAATTCTCTTTTCCTGACTGCATTTCTCTTCTACTTTATAGAATTGGAAGCCAAACATAAAATTCCTCAATGTCTAATAAGAATGTGTGACCACAGGCTTTTATGGACATTGGAGATAAAATTATCCATCACAGTTTTAAAGGTTTCTCCTGCAGGGTAAATTCTAACTATTTGAAGCCTAGTCAATAGTAGAACAGTGGACCAGTGTATCAGGAAATCTTTACTTTGATTCCCTCCGAGTCACCATTAGGCATGCTGCAATGTCCCTGTTTTCTCAGCTGTAAAGAAAGAGAATAGTATTATTTGCCTTTCAGAAATGAGTCTGAGATTTACTTACTCTTCCAAAAAGGCACTGTGATCCTTCAGGGAGTTCTGTGAGAGTTGTGAGCTTTTCTTCCATTTGGGTTGGACTGTTGCTGGCTGGAGAATGCTTAGATGGACCCTGAAATATTACTGACCTATATGATGCTGGTTTTAAGCAAAACTGCTTATCACGAAGACATGCAGCACAGTTGGGCTGTTGAACTGCCCAGGTACAAGAAAGACATTTGGGGTGGTATCTCCTTTCCTTTAGAGGTCTGCAGCTAAATTTGTTCCTCTGGGCTCCATTTGCAGCTGGAGAGAAATGATCATTCTTATGTCGCTGTTCGTCTGGCCTTGAAGTAGGAGTATAAAGCTGGTCAGATGGATGGCATGTTAAGAAATGTCTGTTTTTTCCTTTGTGTGCCCACAAAGTGAGTCCAGCTTGACACCCCTTCCTGTCTGGGAATCAGAGGAGACTTCTTCCTGCTGGGCCAGTGCTTTTTCTCTTCTACACGTTTTGCAGAGCTCACCATCAAAATGGGAGTACTAGGCTGAAAGCAGACTGCCCATCTTACCCAAACCAGCAGATCCAGTGTCCCACACAACACACAGAATGGGCTATGCTGGGGCCTCAAGACTCAGCTTGATTTGGCTCTTGTGTCTTTGATACTGCATGAGAACACCTCTCATTGGGACTTTCGCCATAGATGCTTTGCCAAACCATTGTTGTGAACTATTCTTGAGGCTGAGCTACCTATGTAAACTCTCTTGCACTATTTTCAGGAGCCAGAGGATAGAGTGGCTGCTGCCAGCATCGCTCACTCATTTGCAAGATTTCAAGTAGGTTAAAAATGAAAATCTGCTGTTCTCCAGGGCTTTGGTTAAAGCTCCTAAGCATCAGTCTTAAGTGCTTTCTTTATATTGCTCATGTACAGCTGTTCTGTCTTACTTTTAACTGTGTTTTTGTATTTCACATCCCTTTCCCACAACCGTTTCATCCTGTAACACACTCTGCAACAAACCAAGCCTGAGTGCTTCAAGTATATTTAAATACAGTGGAAATTCACCCTCCACTGATTCAGCTGAGTCATTGCAGTGTAAGAAAGAGGTGTTATTCATTCTCTTTGGGATGCATTTTTATACAGAGATGAGAAATGCATCGGCATCGCTTGTACATTTAAAAATGATAGCAGAGTAAAATCTGTGCCTCCCATTCCCCCTGTTATGCTAAGTGTTGCTTCTGGCATTCATGTGCTTGATGTTTCCTTTTATGCACGTGGAAGCTTTACCTTCTGGGTGAGC